AGATGTGCTCAACATTTAACGTTAATTACCGGCCAAACAATGCCGTCAATTATAGTCCCTCTTTCACTCCCATTCGTCCCAATGGTCCCAATTAGGCAACGATTCAGTCATTTCTCTAACAATTCTCATAATTTCGAGTAATTTTATAAATCATTTGATTATTATTATACGGTATTTATAATTGCTATTACAGTACAGTATTATTACCGTATTATATATTGATATTTTGATATTTAAATATAGAATTAAGTCAATGATCAAAGATCTCACAACTGATTTTCACAATTGTTTTTTTATAATCAATCACTTTGAAGATACAGTACTTTTAATTACTTAATAATCACTACATTATTAATCAATGTCATTGAAATGTTTATTTTTAAGATATAAATGTTTGGTACGAATAACAATTAAAGATTTTTATTACAATTTATCAAGTTTAACAAATTCTTTAAATATTCTTATAATACATAACGAATTGAGTTAACTTTGAATATTTTTGATGAATAGTTTATACAAATGGTATGCAATTAATGAATGTCTTATCGTATGAAGTCGTTTTCAATGGAACTCATAATTTGTTGATCAAATTCATCGTATTTTGTGTTCATTGGGTTGTGATTTTCAGACATGACTAGAAAATTATAATTACCGGTAAAATATGTATCAAAATTAACATTAATGGGTCTCAAGACAAATAATAGTTTAATTACAATTACCTGGTGTTGAAGACAATGATATACTCCCAGGAATTTCCATTGAACTCAACTGTTGGATACAGAGGTAACATAAAATATTACCGGTATTATTATAGTTTAGTTTTAACTTGTTTATTGTTCAAGTTGTTATTGTAAAAATGATAATTTAGATATAATTCTGTAATACTTACTCTGAATGTATTTCTGCTCTGTCTCTGACTATTCCTGCTTTCTGTTGGCTTATGATGTCTATCAAACTCTAAACCACTTCCTATCTCCAAACCGTGCTTTAATTTAGATATAATTCTGTAATACTTACTCTGAATGTATTTCTGCTCTGTCTCTGACTATTCCTGCTTTCTGTTGGCTTATGATGTCTATCAAACTCTAAACCACTTCCTATCTCCAAACCGTGCTATCGATTCAATCAATTTTTAATTTTGTTAAAAACTTTAATTTTGTTTAAATTAGTAATTTAACCAACAAATCGCAATCACATTAAAATGCTGTATTTTTATTGTTGGTAATTCTTATTAATTAAATTGGTGCATTTACTTTAACTACAAATTAACAAGTTTTCAATTTATATAGAATAAAGAACATATGCTTTTTATATTTTATACTTCGTTTAAAACTCTAATAAATTTAATTAGTAAATTACATTTGCATTATTGACGTATTCATGTAAAACACGTACTCGATGCTAATTAATCTTTTACATAAGATAATTAAAAATAATTGAAATTCTGTGAAGATTCACTAAAATAAAAATATAAATGCAAATCAATAAAAATAATGACTCTCTCTCTCTCTCTCTCTCTCTCTAACTTGTATTCATATTCTATATTCTCTATTCTCTATGACAACAAGAAATACAAAAATAAAATATAGATCTATATATTTTTGAATAGTTTTAAACAAGGTTGAAATAGCAATTTGTTGAGCAAATTGTAACTCATAGGCAAATACCTCTTTTGCGAGAAACTCTATGTAATCCATTTGCCCTCTGGTCTCGGGTGCCGTATAGGACTTTGATTTAAGGCCTTGGATCTCATTAGTAGAGGCCGGACGAGAAAAACTGCTTAGACTTGACTATTCACACAGAATTGGCCCCAATTTGTATACATATCAAAATTTATTTAAAATCAATACTTTTAGACACAATTTATTGTACAGTACCTCCGCGTTGAGCTCAACGTGCATATTGTTATCCCAGTTACTCCACGACTGACCTCTTTTACGGCTTGAATACCTCATCGGGTATTTGCTTTCCCTGTCGTCCAA